GCTATAGTTCCGAAAAATGAGTCAATAATACCGTCTCCGAGAAAGAACTGCAAGTCCTATCATCTTACATTCGACTTCGCGGTTACGTATATTACTAAACAACCACTGAATTCGCAATTTTTTAAAATCAAATCTCAGAATTAGACTGACAGAAGTGACATCAGATATTTGATTACTTCAAAAGAATGATAAAGATGCCTACAACGCAGCTGTCCCTACTGTTAAAAACTTAAAATTTCACGTCGATAATTTTCAGATTTCAAAATAATGAAATATCTTCTCAATATTGATTCGTCCTCTCTTGTGTCACAGAAATAAATAGTGTATTATACACGGGGAAAATATTAGATTTTAGCTCACGGTTTTTTGTCTCCCTCCGATACGCGTCGGGAGACAACACAACCTGGAGCTAATATCTACTACTTTTTTCCCTTGTACAATAAATAACTATATTTAAACAATTGACAATGACATCATGTACCACTAAATAAGGATCACTGAATCTACGGAGTTCTAATTCGAGCAGCATATACAGGGTGAGTCATAACTATTGGGACATAAACTAAGGGCGGATTGTTTAAACCAAAATATGGCGATAGAACCGAATATGCCTCAATAAAACATTGCTGTGGAAAAAGATAAGGGGCGTTGAAGTTGAATTTTTTTTTTCGTTTCTTGTTAAAAATTTCACTGTACATTCATCAATTATTATCAAAATCGGTACAGAGGCATAATTTTATACAGGGAATATTAGTTGATGTATTATTCTACAGTTTGTTACAGGGGGCGCCACGTGAATGATTCCTATTGATGAAATCGACTGATTACTTTCTTTGCCGAAACTTTCTAGTGATTTTGATAAGAAAATAAACATCATTTCTACGTAATATTGGTACCCCTGTTTTGAAACGATATGTTCATCCGTTTTCGAGAAAAACGCAATTGAATAGTTCAAAGTCGCGAAAGGGGATTTCTAATAATATTTTAATTATGGGGAGTGTGCTTTGCACTGTCACATAATTTTTGCTGGTGAATTACTTTCTTGTCATTTGATGAATTTTGGTGCGAGTTTATAGTCAAAACTTTTTCGATTAAAACGCCCTGTATCTTTTTCCACAGCAATATTTCATTGAACCATATTTGGTCCTATCGCCATATTTTGATCCAAACAATCTGCCTTTAGCCCATGTCCCTCACCCTGTATATATTTTTTTAATCCCTTGGGGCGAACGAAAGGATATTCTTGTAATTTTCGTGGAACATCGTGCGTACCTAGGGAGGATAGGGAGAGGAGGAAGATGTTGGAATTTTTCCCAACTTTTGGTGGTTATAAGTTCTTGGAAATACTTTTACTGGCTAAGAATTCCAAAGCTTCACCGTTTTATAGACGAAAGAGTTTTGGAAGAGTGTTGTTCGACTTATTTCAAGGATGTGTTGACTCTGGGCCTGTCGAGTTCGTCTGACTCGTATTGCTAGTGATAGAATTCGAGCAGAGATCTCTGAGGAACAATTCCCGTGGAAATATCCCTAGAAAAGTGAAAGATCGCCGACTTTTCTACGGTTTTCTAATGAGGTCAATGAGTAATTCATAATTGATAATTGTAAGGTGCATTTATGCAGGAACATTTAACAATTATGAAGTAACATTCATTGATCAACAATTATCAATTAACAAGTGATGAGAATATTGACGTTTATGCTAACCAAATTAACAATTATTGAATTAATAGTACGCAAGCGCACATGCCCTAAATCTGGACTGTCAAAGCCGTAACCTTACAAATTTCATGTTTTCTGATCTGGAAGAGACTGGGTTACTTTTATTCGTAATATCCCGAGACCATGACAAATAGCCGACTATTATTTTCTTCAAAATTTTATCGTGAGCACCTTGTATTTTGACAATTTGATGAGACCATATGAACATTAATGATCTGCAGATTATTTATGTTCAAATGGTCGAATTGAATTGTCCCAAAATACAAGTTATTCGAGATGAATTAAAGAAAATGATAGTCTCCATTTGTCATGGTCGAGTGATATTCAGGAAGATTTTTTCATGAACAGTGTAAAAATACTGGTTTATATGAGTTTCAACATTTTATTCAAGTTACAATTCTGCAGATACTATTTGAATACAAATTTTTCTGAAGGCCGTCTGGGGTATTCTCATCATATCTACGTACAATTGTAATCAATTCATCAAAAGTTAGAGCTTCTTCTGGTGCAATAATTAGATTCGAAATAATATTTCCAGTGGCGTCACAGTGGGTAAATTAATCGATATTTATGATGAGTTATGAGTTATGAGTTTCATATTTTTATCAGATTGAACTATTGAAATAACAACTTTTTCATTCTTTGTTTGATCTTAGTATCTGGCTTATTTTTTGAGGAAACAATAAAAATTCGATTTGACTCCAAATTTTAGTGTAGGTGTTTTCAAGACTTCCATTGAGATTACTCAATAACCCCAATCACAATCATTTTGAAATTTCAGGGCTTCCTCAGTCTTCAACCATAATGAATTTTGGCCCCATGGAAGATTATACAGGAAGGTTATAAATAAAAGCAATTTATACTTCCAACTTCAACATCCTGTATCTCAAAAACCAAGCAAGTTAGGATACATGTTTATATGAACTTTATTTGCTAGAATGTCACAAGGAATCACACATTGGATTTTTTCGGTGTTATTTAGAAACACCCTGTATAATTTGAAATAATAAAAATTCTATGAGTGAAACGCAGATCATTTCAAGATCTAATAACGCAAAAACAGTTAGAGCTCGACAATTTGAATAGTAGTACACTTTTCATTTAAAATTGAACAGGCTCGCAGATTTTCAACTTATTTGAAACATTATTTTATGGTCAAAGAAGATATGATGTAATTTGCTTAAATAACAGAGTACCGCAAGCTCCCTCTATGGGCAATCACAAAATAAGTTACAAATTCGTATTTCTCATGTCAGAAAATCTGAAACTACAAAATTTCATGTATGTACATGCTGTTAAAACTTACAAAGTTATTGAGACATTTTAATAGTAGATTGTTTTATTAGGATCAAAAGTGACACTCGCAAATTTTGCTTTCGCTCGGCTTCGCTAAACGCTCCGCCTCGCAAATGCAAAATTCGCTTGTCAAACAAAGTGTCACTTTTGATCCGAATGAAACATGCTATTTTTTCTGCAACCGAAACAATTAACTCAAATAAATATGTGAAGTAACCACCAATGCCGTGCCATATGTATATGCAATGCAACAAATATTGACAAATAATCCGTGTGGTGAGAATATTCTACCTGCATCAACAGCAGGTTTATTCAAATTTCAAGGATGTTCGAATTGTAGTTTCAATATAAATACAACAACAGAGTGACATATTTGTGTATGGACCAGGTGCTCTAATGGCAAATACCGCGCCAGTGCCAGCTATGGGAACAAGAAGTGGAAAATGTTAGGTAGTGAGCATATCAACAATAATAATAGCGATTATTTATTCCTCTCCATACTACACTGTGTTTGACTTGATTATCAAATGAAGCTGAACAATATCGTTGTTTGTGACAAAAAAACTATTGCTTGCCGTGATTATTCAAAAACAAGTTATCCATCCCGAGAATAACGAATGAAATACAGATCAAGCAAGTATTTGAATCTTGAAGGCTTCCCTGATCAAAACAAAAACTGAGATGTTTATGATTCCAATACTTAACTATAATAAGGTTTCTTTATATCTCCAGCATCGGTATGAAATGCCAAATCTGCCGAAATCGGAAACAAATCAGGTATGCGTCTCAACCCAAATAACCAACCGTCACAATGTTGCTCCTAGGAACAAAAGTTCAACTTTAGCTCCTAGGAACTAAATATGTTGCCTAGCAACATACCTATTTTTGTGTCAGTAATAGAAACGTCAATTTAAGAGCTGCTTTTGGTATCAAAATGGACAACTTTTGTGTCGGTTGCAGAAAAAATGAATTCTTTCCCTTGAACACCTTGTCTTTCCGAAACAAGCAACTTTTAACAAGGCATTTTAGGCTGAATCATCATATTTTGGTGTTTACTATATATGTAGTTCTGAGATTGCCATTATTAAGATATCTACATAATATCTACGTAAATATATTCAAATGATCATTTTTTTCTAGTTTTTAGTTCTAAAGTTTCCAGCTCAAGCATAATCTTGTTGTTCATGAAGTTATTTAAACTAATGTGCTCATGTCATGTCTGCTGTATATTTATATATTCATGTCATCATATTTTGCAGTTGTTTACTAACAGTTGAAATTTTCTGAATTTATAATTTTATCGTCCGTTTTTATCAAAACTGGTTCTATTAAAATGCATTTAAAAATTTGTGGAGTAATAATTAAGACCAATGAAAGTTTATATCTACGTGGTGTTGTAGGTATTATTTTTACCTTGCATCTTTTGCTGTATTCAACGATTTTTCAATTCGATCTCTTCATGATGAGTTTACAAGTTCATTTTCATCTGATGGAAAGCTGACAAATTCAAATTTTCCATCCAACCGATTGGTACAGCCTAACGGAGCACATTTTGCCATACTTCCAAAACAGGATTGAGATACTAATAAAGACTTTGTAAGATTTCTTGTAACGCCTATGGATGTGACGTGACAGTAATGTCAGAGAAGCTAGTACACTAAACTAAAGTCACTAGATCACTAAAAATGAATGGCGCTATAATCTGGCCGTACCCTGATAAGATGACAAATACGTCAATTTGCTTCAAGGGACGTTGTCACTTATGACGCAAAATAATCTCATGAATTATCAACGTCCTAGGAATATCATAGCTGAAAAAGACATGTCTAGGCAAATTTCTTGGAGTGTGACATGTCAACGTCACCCAATTATTTTTTTCCTTCGTTTGTTTGATTAATATGCAAAACAACGATAAAATATGAGATATAAGTTAGTCTTGTACCTATGACTAGCTCACAGTAATTGTGAAACGGGTTCATTTCAAAATGAGAGCTGCATATCTGTTAATATTCATCCTTGGTGAGTCTGGTGCATGATTCAATGATACTGAAGTGAAAAAAACTGATTTTTGTTGATTGAGAGCCAACTGCAGTGTTAATGAAAGTGATGTCAATTGTTGATTTTGAATTGAAATTGAATTTCGAGGATGAATCGATAATACGAATTTGGCCAACTGATATCGTTAAGATACATAATATTAGAGTGCCTCGAACATCTCATTACATGCCCTTTAAAGAGTGTAGACACGCTTGTCACCACTGACATCTCCGAATTGGCATCATTCTCAAATTCAAAACGTCAGTTCTGAAAATTCAATAGGCGTCCCCGCGAGAATGTTTTATCGAGTTGTCCAAAGACGAGACAAGTGTTTGTTGAAGCTTCAAATTCGAATATTCATTTCATGGAAATATATTTTATGATGTAATATTGATATAACGAAATCAGAAATATGTGCCTTTGGTGTTACGCCACTGTGAGGGTTTCAAATTTTAATATGTCTGAACTCGTTCAATGAAGGGGTACAGAAAATTCATTATATCTCTTATTTTAATTGTTGTTTAATTGTTTAATTGTTGTAACATGACAAGCGTGTCCAAGCTCTTTGAAAGGCGTGAAATGAGATATTCGAAGCACTCTAGATAATATTAATAATAATGTTTGAAAATTACTTACATCATTATGATTGATGACAAAAATTAATCAGTAGGCTTGAAAAAAGGGCCATTCCAAATCGAATTACTAGTATTTTTTATTTTTAGTTTCTAGAAAACTCTACTAGATCATTGAAAAAATCCTAATTTTGAATAAAAATGTTATCCTATAATATGTACTTGGTGAAGCAATTCAACATACAGTTCTCAACATCCTAGATGAACCACTGATAATTTGACTCTTTTTCGACGACCAGTTTTTTTTTTAAATTGACCTATGTTCATGCGGATTATGATATCAGATGTGTGAAGTGGAACCATTACACTGTTGTCTACATTTCCAATGCTGCTGGAGAAATATTTTTCTGATCAAAAGTCAGTCATATATTATGATACACTGGGAATTCATCTCGGGATATTTTCGTGATTTCTCCTCTTGGAACAAAAATGCGATCTTTTTTTCAAGTCTTGCATTTCTTTGAATTTTTCTCTAGAAATCCACTTGAACTGAATAATGGGAAAAACTGTTCTCATGTTTTCTGGAGGACAATGAAAGACGACAGCAGCACCATTGTAGAATGTTTAGGGTGAGAAGAAAATAAGAAAAAATTTCATTTCGGTAAAAAAAGTAGAAAAACGGTTACTATAACCATTCAGTATATTCAGAAATGGCCTTCTCAATTAGATAACTAACTCCAGACGTTTTCGAAAATTCCCTTCTAATTAAGATACAAGATGAGATTTTTCATATTTCAAGTTCATGAATTATGATCGACAATTTTGAATCCAAGGATTGATCTTCGGGATCGAATGCTTTCCACAGGTGATCACTGAGGACTAATACCTTCCTTATCTTATGCGGAGGTCACGCATATTTCTTAATTGAATGCCGTGAACAGGGTGTATAGTAATTACAAGAACACGATATCACATCTGATATCGAAAACCGCATGGAAATCGGCCAATGTTTTCAAAATATACAGGTCCTCGAAAAAGAGTCCAATTATGAGTGGTTCATTTAGTTTTAGGGTGCTGAGAACTGTATAATTAAATGGTAATGGTAAAAATATTTGAATAACGAGTTGTACCAATCCAAATTGACTTTCAAACTGTGTGCTCAGTTGAGTTCAGAACATATTCCAATTTGGTATTCGCGTCTTTAAAGGTATTGTAATGGCGACTACGCTATGTTCAAGGCGCCCAGTATAGTGATCCACCCAACACAAACGTTTATCAAACACGACCCTAAGTATTTTTCAATCCACTCAGGACAATTTACGGTAAACAGTCAAAATCTATAAATAATGATCCAAACCTAACCTAACCTAACCTAACCTACCCCACAACCTGACCTAATGAATGTATTTTTTCACAGTTGCAGTTATCAACAAATCGTCCAGCCAAGGATTTCTAGATTTCGGTTTGCCAGAAATAAATGGTGAGGAAATACTAACTATCACTACTTCACGACTGTCCAAACTCGATACAGGGTGTCCCTTATTCGAGCGTCATCATAGGGATCTCGAAAAATAGAAGAGATACGAGATCGGTTGAATGAGGCGAAGTAGCGCAATTTTATGCCTCACAAAATGCCGTTTTGAAATTTGAAAAATACCGAATATTCCCGATTTCATTTTTATTTTTTCAAGTCTCTATTTGAATATGTGAAACAAAACTAATTACACATTCTCATTGCTACTTTTTCTGTTCTAAAAAATGGTGTTATCAGATTTTCAAACAGACGTTTCGTCTTTGAACTGCCATCATCAACTTTGTTTTTCTGAATACGACCCTGGATTTCAAGAGCTTTCAATCTCCTATGATCAACGGTGTATCGCATTTAATAAAAATGTGTTTGTTTCAATTCCTATTAAAAATCGAATGAAAAATGTCATAAATATGAATTTTTTAAATGAGTGCGATACATCGTTGATTTAAGATTAAAAGTTCTTTTAATCCATGATAAAAAATCCAGGGCCGTATAAAAAATCAAAGTTGATAATGACAGCTCAAAGACGAAACGTTGGTTTGAAAATCTGATAAAACCATCTTATAGAATAGAAAAAGTAGCAATGACAATGTGTAATTTGTTTTATTACAGTGTGAAAAAAAAGAAATGAAATCGCGAATAATTGGATTTTTCCAAAAATCTTCGGAATTTTTCAATTTTTAAAACGGCATTTTGTTAGGCATGATATTGCGCAACTTTGCCTCCATTTAACTATCTACGATCTACTATCCGAGTTCCAAATGATGAGACTCGAATTTGGGTCACCCTGTACATAAATATTGATAAAAATAACTTCGGATGCGGAACTTTTCTATTTTTTATTTTTAAGTAATAATTCTGACATTCAAGCTGACATACATAATAATGACACAAGAATAACTTATCGACGATAACTATTGTTTTCATATAAAACACTATCTTGTTCTAGTCTTGAATATTATACAGAATGATTGACACTCATATTATTTAACATAGCCCCTCAATATAAATGTAATAAACTCAGAGAAAACGTTGTTTTTGAATTACATTTAAATTGCACAAGAATTCTCCTATTCACTTACTAAACACTCTCTAAACTTCTGAAATTTTTCTTTACCTAGAGCCTTTGTAAAAATATCGGAACAGTTTTCATTTGAGCATACATATTTGAGAAAAATTTGTTTCTTAACACACAGATCTTTAATGAAATGATACTTGATTTCTATGTGCTTACTACGTTTGGAATTTTCAAAATTTTTAACTAAAGAAATAGCACTGAGATTATCCAATTTCAGAATAATTGGATTGATCTCACCAAATTCTGATAAAATACCATTCAGATTGATGAGTTCTTGCGCTGCCACACCTGCGGAGACATATTCAGCCTCCATTGAGGACAGGGCTACACAGTTCTGCTTTCTGGAGTGCCAAGCAATGATGTTTTCAGCATGAAAACTAACAAATCCACTGATGCTTTTTCTACTTTGTTTGTCACCACCCCAGTCTGCATCACATACTCCTTCTATACCACTGCCTCCTTTTGTGAACTTCAAACCATAGCCTCTTGTAGTATTTAGGTAACGCAGAATTCTCTTGCCAGCCTTCCAGAGCTGCATTGTTGGATGATCTAGATATCTGCTTAAGAAAGATACACTATAGGCAATATCTGGTCTGCTGACAATAGATAAATACATCAAACAACAAATAAGTCTTCTGTAAGGAACATTTTCCAAAACTGATTCATTTTCATCTACTTGAAAGTTTTTCTCCATTGGGGTTTCGATAGGATGACATTCTGTCATGTTAAATTCGCTGATCAGTCTTGAAATCATCTTTGTTTGATTGACCTTCAGTCCATTTTCAATTTTTGATATTTCCATTCCTAAGAATAGAGTCACTTCGTTTATATTTTTGACTTTAAACTCATGATACAAGTCTTGAATCAATTCTTGAACTTTGGAGTCTGGTCCAGCAATCAAAGCATCATCAACGAAAAGCACTAAATATACATCATCTTTAACGTACAGACAATAGTCATATTCTGACCTTCGGAACTGTAATTTCATCATTACTTCTGTAAATTTTATATTCCAGCATTTTGGTGCATTTCGTAAACCATATAAAGCACGATTCAACTTCAAATACTGTGAATTGCACTTTAGGCCTTCTGGTTTCTTGATAAACACTTCATTATCTAGCAAACCATTTAGAAAAGCTGTTGGCACATCTATTTGTCTCAGAGTAAAATTTCTCTGCACAGAAATTGACAACATGATTCTAATTGTAGGAAGTCGACAAACAGGAGAGTAGCTGAATTCTTCACCTTCATTGGGTACTTGAAAACCCTTCGCAACTAATCGAGCTTTCTTCTTACCATTTTCTTTGACTTTGAATACCCATCGGGTGTCAATAGCCTGTTTTCCTTCTGGTAGCTCAACTGGTGTCCAAGTTTGCAAATTTTTGTGTGATTCTAATTCACTATTGATGGCCTGTTGCCATTCATGTGATTTTACAGCCTCTTGAAATGTTCTTGGCTCTTCTTCTGTTGCAGAAAGTAAACAATAGGCAACATATATTTCATAGTCACTTAAATATTTTGGCACAGTTACATTTCTTCCTGATCTTGTAACTAGTGGTTCTTCTTGCCTCACTTCTTGCTCATTCTGATTACCTACTTCTTGTTCTTGATTCTTTTCTTTTTCTACCATTTCTATATCATTTTCATCACCATCATTGCTGTCTTTGATCTCATCTGAGCAATGTATGTTATTTTTCACCGTATATTCATTTTCCTTCCTTGTTTTAATTTTATACTCCATTAGATTTTCATCAAAACGAACATCTCTGGATCTAATAATTTTATTTTCTTCTGGTAACCATAATCTATAACCTCCTCCACAATATCCAACCATAACAGCTTTCCTTGATTTCGGGTCTAACTTATTTCTTCTTGGCACAATAGTATACCATGTTCTGCACCCAAAAATTCTCAGTTTACTGATATCATTCCTACCATTCCATATATCTGATGGGGTTTGACATTTGGACAGTGCTGATGTGGGTGTTCTATTCAGTTCGTATGCAGAACACTTCAATGCTTCGCCCCATAATGACTTTGGTATACCTGATTCAATAATTTTCGTTCTTATCATATTCAAAAGGGTTCGGTTCATTCTTTCAGATTTTCCATTTGCCTGTGGACTATAAGGCATTGTGTATTGCAGTTTTATTCCTTTTTGTTTACAAAAATCTTGAAAATGTTTCGAAGAAAATTCACCACCATTATCGAGTCTAAATCCTTTAACTTTAGTATTGTTCTGTCTTTCAAATTCCTGCACATACTCTTTGAGGTTTTCTTCAGCTTCATTTTTGTATTTCAAAATTTTAACCACCAAAAAATGAGAAAAATCATCCAAGATTACTTGAAAATATTTTCCACCATCAAATGTGTTCGGTGTGATTGGGCCACATATATCACTATGAAGTAACTCACCGATATTTCTAGTATGGTTTTCATTTGGTGGAAATGGCGATCTTGTTGCCTTCCCTTCAACACAGGGTGAACAAATTGTTGATAATGGTTTTAATCCCAGCTTCGTCATAGCATCTTTATTTGCATGACCTAAACGTCGATGCCACATATCTTCAACTGACATACATAATAATGACACAAGAATAACTTATCGACGATAACTATTGTTTTCATATAAAACACTATCTTGTTCTAGTCTTGAATATTATACAGAATGATTGACACTCATATTATTTAACAAATATATCCATCGAAGTACTCTGTAAGTAGAGTATTGATGCATTCGAAATATGAAAATTGGGATTCGCTTGTACCGATACAGCAGTAGTCCGGAAGATAGTTTCTATAGAATTAATACTGATATCAAATTCAATATTTGAGGATGAGTTAATTTATTATCAAGTCTAAATTTAACATTAAATGAAAACCTTTAATAAGTTAAAGGTAACAGAGCATTTTGATTATTTAACGAAAATGTTTTATTCTTGTTTTTTATGTGCATTTTTCCAATTTTTGCATAAAAATGTTTCGTGTTATTCATGGCTATGATGAAGTATTGATTCTGTATTCATCACGACTGATAATTTGTTACTATTATCATGGCCTACCACATTTGAAAATGTTTTTACTGTTTTTTGGTGCTGTTTCTTGTGGAAATGTCAACATGTTACACATGGCTGTGGAGGGACTTTTTAGCTCAATTCATTGGTATACGAAACATATATGGCGCCCAATGGAAAAACAAAAGTTTCATGGTACCTCTCTGAGATTAATGAGGATAGAATATTTCTGACAAACCCAAATCTTTTGTCATGATCAATTACCTGCCCACAGAAAATTTCAAATTTATTCCTCTAATATCAACCAAGAAAATAAATAAATTTTAGGAAATAGCAATACTGTCAACTCGGCGGGACCCTGTATATAGGGGAAATCAAAGATGGCGATATATCCAAAATCAAACCTCTACATATATTATGTTGTATATATGTACCAAATTGATTGCTTCTATCATTAAATTTGCAATTCTTACAATAATGTCACGAATCTGCTGGAATACAGTAATTGCCAACCTATGTGTTGAGCTACACTGATAATTTTAGAATGAAAAGTGAGCAGCCTGAATGAAATCGCCATGATTGTATTCATTTCACTAATAAACTGATACAACTGAATCAAGCTACCGGTACTACCGACTACTGGTATACAGAAACTAGCTGTTAACAGACACCAACGAATGCATAAGTTGTATGATTATTCAACCCGACATACAAGCCTATTTGAACCAACTTTCAAGTTGCAACCTGACATAACATCATCAATATTATTTCACAGTCAATGGCAGCTCTGCAGGAGACCTATTCGACATCCTGAACCCGACCAGCAACGACTCCAATGGCGGCCTCATCTCCTCAGGCCCAAGCCCAACCAGCTCTGGCATCGTCAGCAGAATCGACGATGCTATCGACGACGGTATCGACGCGTTCAGAAACATAGCCTCTTCGGCGCTAAGTCCCTTCATCGGAATCGCCGGAGCGCTGACGTCAACAGCCGAATCTCTGCACCTGCCCGGCGCCGACATCTTCAGAGACATACTGGCAGGCAATTCTACAGACCCTTTCAGTGCCATAGCCAGGAACGTTATATCCTTCTTCTCGTCGAGTATAGCATCGTTCATCCCAGGCTTACAGAGCGGTGCACGTCAGCTGTCAACGCTGATACAATCTCTCCTCAACGGCGATGATATTTCCTCGCTTCTGGGATCTATCCGTTCAATTTTCGACAATGGCTTCAGGCTAGCAGCTTCTGCTATTGAAAGAGTGGTTTCCTCGTTACCGGGCATCGGAGACATAGCTTCTCGCATATTCAACGGTACTTCCAGCGGATCGGACGTCATCAGGCGAGTGATCTCGCAGGCAACCAATGACGGTATGATCAGTCTGAGTGAATTAGTGGGCTTTATCGATATGGCGATCGACAATGGTGATAACACCACAGCGGCCACATTGGGTAACCTGCGAGCAGCACTCACTGGAGGTGGAACTGCTATATCGGATATCATCGGAAGGGCGATCTACTCTGTGCCAGGAGCCAGCAGTGGCAATATCAGCATTTCGGGTTTGCGCAGCGCTATCCAATCGGAAATCGCCAATGGAGGAAGCGAGGTTGCAAGAGCGTTGGGGCCTCTGCGGGCAGCACTATCTGATGAAGATTCCCGAGTGTCAGATTTCTTCGGAGGGGTTATCTCCTTAGTAAGAGATGCTCTTTCTGAGCTCTGGCAATTTATATCACCCATATTCAACAATCGAGCGCTTTTGATACTTCTAGGGCCTCTCGGCTCGATAATCAGATTCGGATTGAGCGCTGTATTAACCCCTATATGGAACGGTATTTACGGACTTTTGAGCTCTGGCGGCTCTCTGATCATCGGTGGCATTTGGACAATATTGAGATCAGTATTAACTTTAGCGATAAAGATAGTATTGGGTATCATAAGGGTGGCATTCGTCCCAATAAAAGGTATCTTCAATACTGCTATCGTCCTTAAGAGTTTTGTTGCCTCGATATTCTTCAATGTCATTTCGACAATATTGACTCCTTTCCTAACCATACTCAATCTTGGAATAAACACAGTATGGGGCGCCATAAGGCTTGTATTTTCACCGATAAAAGTAATCTGGAACGTCGTTTATACACTGTCGACGCCTTTCCGATCACTAATAAATTTTGGAATCAGCATCGCATCGAATATCGTTAGGGCAGCGTTTTACCCAGTATTATTACCTTTCCGGTCCCTACTGGGTTTCATTCGACTATTATTCGCTCCGATATCAATGATATGGAACGGTTTGTCAACTCTTATTCGATAGTTAAGTGAGTAGATTAATGTTCACTGGTGAATAAACCATAAATCAGATAATCGAATTTGTTTTATTGAATAGCATTCTCACTATTAAAAAAACCTATCAAACGCAGATACTCATATATACTATCTGTAGGTTAATTGAGGAGGTGACACATTCATTTCTCCAGATTTTTTGTAATTTTCTCTCCTGGTTTCTATAAATAAAAAAATGAGTTCAATACAGGGTGTTATTTAAGTCTGTGACAAACTTCGAGAGGGATCATTTCATCAAGTGATAGTTGTTTTTCATGATTACCTTGTATAAGCTGTCATTATGGCAAAATTCAGTTTGGTTGGTGACTGAGAAAGTCTCAAATTTTCAGAATAATACTCATTGAGGTTATTGGGTAATCCCGATGGGTGCTTACATTAAAATTTGGAATCGGATCAATTTTTCATTATTTCCTCAGAAAATGAGTGATCTACAAAAACATAACACGGGTCAAGAAAGTTGTATTTTCAATTGTTTAATCTGATAAGAATATCGAACTTGAAAAAAAATGAGACGTAGGTACCTTATTCACCATAAATATCAAAAAGTTAACCCACTGAGACGCCACTGGAATCATTATTTTGAATCTAATTATTACACCAAAACAAGCTTCTTGATAGTGTTAACAAAACCACCAAGTTTCATTGAAATCGGAAAACAGAATTTTGCGTAATTAATAAAATATGATTTTTTACTGAAACTTAGAGACCTTGTAGAATAGAATAGAATATAATGGAATATGTATTCATCCAATAGACCATTTTACATTGGTCAAGGAAAAGTCAACAACAACAAAATCATGAAAAAAGCATGATTAAACATTCACATGAAGTGGTTAATATAATAACAAACAAGCTGTAGGAAACAAAATAGTAAATTACATGAAAATCCCTGATTAGTAAGAAATTCTATCGTCTTTTGCTTTAGACTTCTCGGATTTAGTAGCGACCTGTTCTCGATGGGCAGACAATCGAAAAAGATCTTATAAGAAATGGGTGATTTTTCGAAAAGATTAGTAATATGCTTCGTCATTTTTATTGAATCCCCATTTCTCGTTGGATATATGTGCTGTTGACCATTAGTTGTTGATATTGAAGCTTCATTCTTCATTAAAAAAGTTACTAAGCCGTGGATGTATATGCAATGAAGTCAGTATTTTGTGCCTTTGAAATAAGGTTTACATGAATCTGTTCTCTTGAGGTTGAATATAAGCCAAATAATTCTTAATTTATTAAAGATTTTTGATCCAAAACCCTCTTAAGCTGTGTTCCATTTGAAGGTGCTATGATTGCATCATTCACAGGAATATTCAAAAGTTTTTCCACGCATTTTTTTCCAAAGAATCGAATGAGAGCAGTTTTTTCAGAATTGACAAGTAGTTAATTATTTTTACCCCAATTTGTGAGCACATTGGCAGCTAAATTCAGCTCATCTTGGAGTTCCAAAAGGTTATCGGCTTCCTTTGCGATAGATGTATCTTCTGCGAATAAGACTATGCATTCAGATTTCACGTGAAACGGTAAGTCGTTTATGAATAACAGGAAGATGAGCGGACCTAGGACCGAGCCTTGTGGAACTCCAAGGTCAACACTGTGCATATCTGATCTCGCTTCAGGCATGTTTACAAAAATCTTTCGGAATTTGAGATTAGATATTATACATGATAACATATCCCCTCTTATGCCAACGGCATATAACTAGGCTTTAGATAGATCAATGAATAGTTCAGCGACTCTGGTCTACGCAACTGTATCTTGAAAACGAAGCATTTCTGGACCCATCTTTATAGATCTATTCGTCTGAGAATTATCCAAATAATCACCCCTTGAAGTTTGGCCATTGATTCATTGATAGTCATCGGAACCTTGGTTCAAAAAATGTTTAAAGAAGAGGAATAGATATATAAAAAAATTATAAATTTTTTCTTGAACGTTCCGGGGACGAATATGCTTCGGTTGATTTTATCAACTCATACTGAATCATTCCACTCTGCCATATGAAGTCCATTTTCCGTGAGGATATGTTTAGCTGACCAAGATTTGTGTTGTGTCTTTTTTTCATATTATTCTTCTGTCATTTAATCCTTGCTGAGAGAGGTCTCTTTGTTCCACATGTATAATACTTTCCACAAACACAAGGTATACTGTAAATACATTTTTCTTTGTTTTTCATTTCTCGGCTTTCGCGAGTAAGAATTGATCTCATTGTATTTTTATTTTGAACACAGTTTTCACTATAAAATTATCACCATCCAAGACATCTGAAACTGAGTGGAAAATTTGAAATTTTTTCAATATATCTAAATTCCCCTTCTTTAAACGTATTTCAAAATAAGAACATTTTGGGACAAATCAACTGATTCATTCTCACTACACATCATATACCTATTGAAATTTTAATTTATAGACAATGGGTCCGATTCACTAAGAGCGTGGTTATTTGAACAACTGTCATTCGGGTGGTTAATATGAAGGTCAGTGGTTATTTGAACCACTCAAAGATTTTCTGATTCTCTAAGGCCTAGATGGATAATAAATCAACAACTTGATATGTTTTTTTCCACTTTTTATAGTGGCAGATATCCGCCATCCTTTTCTGGTGATTTGTGGAGTGGTGAAGGTTTTTAATAAAGAACTGTAGCACTATTTCAAGGAAATGTTCATCTGTTAATGCTAGATGTTGCACAAGAGGTAATTCTACGGCAAGAAAGTATGAAATATCTACCTAATTATTTGTGAACACAAGAAAAAATACCTATTTCACTAGAAGGATAGCATCAAACAATAGCATTTAGAGAGATTCAACAGGTCCATCCTTTAATTTTGAAAATGTTATCACATTCCAAAAGTATTGGTCTTAGAGGTTTTGATACCATTAATAGAACCTCGAATGAAAGACGTTAATTGGCTACTTTTATCCTACTACATGTAGAAGTGAATCTCAGTTGAGTTTTTGTAATATACCAGTAGGTATAGAGAATACTTAGAGAATATTTATAACTAATGCCTAGTATTTCAGATACTTGCTGCCTTACATTTATTGCTTGCACGAGGATCCTATCAGGGGGACTGATTCTAATGTAGCAATGTCTCAACTTAGTGCTTGTAGAGTAAATTAATTTGTAGGTTAAATTGACGTTAAAAAGGCAGAAATTAATAATATAGTTGATGAATGACTAACTTCACAGCTTTATTTTTATACCACTCAGTGGAAATGTAAAAAACTAACCACGTTGATAAATGTTGTTTTTATAGAATAGCAAATATCAATAGTGGAAAATCTGGGGTGGTTAAAGAAGTTCTTAATAACAACGTTACTAATTTAGCCACCGTGTTAAACACTTCCTAGCGAATCAGACCGACTAGTAGAGAAAATCCCAAAAAATCTGGAGAAAAAAATATTCCACCTTCCTGATTAACATACAGATAATATACACTCATTGATATTTCATACGTCAGCTGTCCACGGAAAAAGATCACAAGGAATTATTGAATAAACATTTTTCTCAATCAGTCATGAAAAATACGTCACGAGATGACTACTATCAATTCTAGGCTAACTGGGTATTTGAATGTTTCAATAATTATCACTATCTATAATGTATGATTATGTATTCCAAAAAAGTATCAATGTCATTATACAGAGCAATTCATATTCGAGTCAAAATTTGTTTATTAGGATTGAAATAACGTATTTTGAAGCTTGATTGTGATATTCTACGTATTTTGTAATGTACTTTTTATATTAGGTCGAGGAATTAAAGGAAAAAAACAAGATCAGCGCAGTTCATTCTAAAGTGATTCAAAAATATATTTCGATCAGAAATGACTATTAACGTTTTCCAATGAAAGTAGAAAAACGAATTATATTGGATAACTAAAAATCATCGAATTCAAAATAATAATCAGTACGATAATGCACATTGCAACATCGGAATTTGTACGGGCTTGTCAGTACAAGTATCAGTGGATTTTCTGCGAAGACTAATTCCTTTATTATGAATATCTGTTATATGTGTATAATACAAGTTATTTTTTTGAAGATATTACTTTGAAAACCAGTTGACTTCAAAAATAGTAATCTAATTGATTGCTTCAACTATAATAAGTTTCTCATATGATAACCTTCGTAATATATTGGAGGATGACATATTTCAATTCCGTTCTCAATTGGCGAAAAATATATTATTATTGATTTACATTCGATATTATTTTTGAATCAAATGATATTAATAATGATGAAATCTGATGCAGACATTTTTGTTGAAATAAATGAAGTCTCAAGTGTTATCATACATTTTATATACAGCCAATATTTTTCGAAAAGTTACAAAAAAATCCAACACCCTATCCTTCCTAGGTACGCACGATGTTCCACGAACATTATAGGAATTTCCTTTCGTGCGCTCCAAGAGATAAAAAAAATTGACATTGAATATTTTTGTGATAATTGAAGGATCTAGAATGAAATCTCATGCAAAACTCTTGGAAAAATATCTTGTAGAGAAAATCGCCTATAGGAAGAAAACTGGGGAAGGCAATCTAATTTGCAAAAATCGCTCAGGAAGAAACTTCGGATACATTTAGGGAAGAACATGAATTATAATTTCTAATTCTTAAAGAG